GGGCGATATGCTGACTCTGTAAACCGCTTAGAGAGGGCTGAAAGCCCTATGAAGCGGTATATAAGTCTAACTGCTATTGCTATCGCTATTGCTATTACATGAGGCAGGACTTTTAGCTAGAAGAGACAAGGGGCCCAAGACAAAGCGGGGAGGGGATTTAAACTAATTTCAGATTGAGGACCTGATCTTTTAAGGCTTTTGAGGAATTAAACATTGGTCCCCACTTCTACATCCTTTCTGTAGAGGGCGTCAACAGTCGTTGACTTGATTCTGCGGGATGCTTTTCTCTTTGTAGGTGAAAGGGAGGGAATTGTTTTATGGGTATTCTTTGACTATGCAAATGAAGGCTTTCTCTGCTTGCTGTGGGGACCTTGGTCCCTCTGGGGCTCCGAGTGGAGCAGATGCATAGCCAGTCCTGTTTTTTGCACCAATATTGATCCTACCTTGCTAGTAATGAACTGTAACAGCTACTCTATTACTCTTGACCAGCCCATTGGCTGAGGATAATATGAAATTAGCTGGCATGCATAGGGCCTGTCAGTATTGATTCTCCTATCCAGATTACTTGTTACAAAAGAATAGAGCTGTCTGGGCCATAATTGAACAAGTTAACTCCTTGTCTCATAAAATGTAAGCCCGTATTGATTGTGTACTGTAGTATGCAGAAAGAGGGAAGTTGTAATGGTATTTAATCGCTCCTGGGCTGGGAAAGTCCTTCTCCACCTCTTCCCCTCCCACCCTACCTGTCATCTTCTTTGACAGTCAGGTGACAGCGGTGGAGGTGGAAATTCTTCAGGCTCCCTCGCAAAGCTGCTGGATGGCATGGAATTAGTGGGGTCACTGGGAATGGCCTGGGGAGCAAAGGTGCAAGGCCCCAGATCCCTCTGAGGTTTCAGATCACCTCCCAAAGAGGAGCAGCTGATGGGATGGTTACAGGCTTGATCCTATGTCAGCCTCTAGGCTACTATGAGTATGCTGTGATTGAGTATTGTAGAACAGTTATTATATTCTTTCGACAAGAAACAATGCAGGGCAGTGGTGGGTTCCGATCCCGTTCCAACCGATAGGGTTGGAACGGGCCTGTCGTCATCCACATGGCCGTGTATGGTGCGTGCATGTGTCGTACCTGGCAGCGATGCCTCTGCAAGCCTCAGCGATGCTCCAGCTGCTCGGTGGAGCGTTGCGCAGGCGCTGTATGCACCATCCATGTGCGTGGAAGTGCCGAAGGCTTTAAAGGACAGGTAAGGAACTCGGGCGGGCGTGTGGGCCCTCCGGAGAACTGCACTGGAATGGTACCCAGTGCTCNGTTTGAAAAGGTGGCTAAATTGGGTTTTTGGGGGGAGGTAATAAAATACTCTGC